ATTGTTTCCCCTCTACTTAAATGCTTCCTCCTCTTCCTTTTGAGATTTCACATTCTACTGGTTTTCCCCTGACTCATTGGCAGCTCATTCTTAGCCTCCTTTTCTGGCTCTAACTCCTCTGCTCAAGTTTTAAGTGTTGGAAATGTTGCAGAGACTCAGGTCGGGCCTGGGCCACATTTTTCCTTCACTATATGGATTATTCTTCCCAGGGCATCTCAACTAGCCGAATGGCTTTAAATAACATCCAATGTCAATAAATTTCAATTTTATATCCTACCTCTAAATTCTGCTACAACTCCAGAGTCATGCATGTAAAAGACTACTTGCTATATCCACCTACAATTGGCAATCCAAATGTAACATGATGAAAATAGAATTCTTGTTTTTCACCCTAAATCTGCTCCTCCTCTGTCTTTTAATATCTCTGTAAATGGCAACTCCATCTGCCACTTGCCCAGGTCAAAATCTTGGAGTTATCCTTGGTTCCTGAATTCCCTTTACCCCCCACTCCACCCCTCATCCATTAGCAGGTTCAAACCATACCTTGACCTGTCCACTTCTCTGCATCTCTACCTTTCCCACCCTAGTCCAGGCTACAATCCATCTCCTCCAGGTCTCCCTATGCTCATCTCACCCCTCCCAGTCTCTGTGATCTGTGCTCCACACAGCAACCACGGTGATCATCTTAACATGAAAATCTGATCATTCCACTGCCCAGGTGAATACCCCTTGTGGACTTCTTACCATCTTAGAATGAGATACAAACTTTTTGTCCTTTGTCCCTAATGCAGGTGCAGTCTAGAGGGACATATGCACAAGTAAATGATGACAACTCAATGTGTCCCTGCCAGAAGGAGAAAGGGGAAGGCACTCTGAATCTTCAGAGATAAGAGAGACATTGTGAGAGGAAGGGAGAGAGAGAAAAGGAATGAGAGAGAATAAGGGAGGGAGCAGGGGGGGAGAGGGGAGAGGGGGAGAGGGCAGAGAGAGACCCCACCATTCATTACCTTGACTACCTCCTTTAATTCTTATGACAATCCTGGGGAACTAGGTTCAGAGTGGCTGAGAAATTTGCTCAAGAAATTTGCCCAGACCAGGGCTCATCTGGGCCAGGCCCAGCACTCAAAGTCCAATGATATGGATTACATCCCCCAAGTTTCATGTATTAGTAGCTTGATCCCCACTGTGACTGTTAAGAGGGTAGGAAATCCTATTATGGTAATTGAAAGGTGGGGCCATGAAGAGGTGATTAGATTCTGAGGACCATGCCTAGTGAATGGTTTAATAATGGTGGTCATGGGTATTTTAAAAGAAAAATACATGAGGAGCTATCTCTCTGCTCCACCATTTTCTGCATATGAGACCTCCGCATTGCTGTAAAGCCAACCCTCAAGAAGACCCTCACCAGATGCGCTCCCTGGACTGTGGACTTCCCAGCCTCTAAAACTGTCAGCAATAAATTTCATTTTCTTCAAATCACCCAGTTCCAGGTATTCTGTTATAAGCAACAGAAACAGATGAATGCATCATGAACCCCTGACTGTACCATGCTGCCTCCAATCTGTGGCACCATGGGCACCCTCCTCTCTGGATAGCTCTGACACCCTGGGCCATCAGCGGCTCCCACACAGGACACCCTGACACAACTGGGTTCACCTCCAGGGATCATAGGATCAGCCTCCCATGCCTCTCTTTGCTTAGGACCTTGCACCGACATTTCTCAAATTGGGGTAATATAAGGAACCCAATTAAATGAAAAAAATATATACGTTGAGGTCCCTGAGAATGTATCTGTGAATTCCAGTTTGAGGTAAGAATTACGTAGTAGGGCTGACTGGTTAGCTCACTTGGTAAGAGAATGGTGCTGATACACCAAGGTCAAAGGTTTGCATCCCCACCAAAAACAATCAAACAAACAAGCAAACAAAGAATTAAGTAGTAAACACTGGTGCCTTTGGAGATCACCTGGCACCAGCAGGGCCATACATAACTAGAAATGCAAATGTGGGCACTGACATGGGTGGCCATGCCTGGTTACCGAAGTGCCCCCCTCAGGCCTGTAAGTGATTGTATTCACTATTTTAGAGTGCCTTACTGAAGATTTCTGCTAGAATCATCAGACCACCTAGCATAAATGGACAAACTCGCAGGGATCTGGCCTGAATAATCCTGGCCTGCAGGAGAAGATGAAACCTCCAGGGCCCTTCGTGTTCTGATTTTTGCTGACTTCCAGCCACATCTCTTGGCCCTGCCTTTATCCCCACTTCATCCTGAGTTATCCTGCAGTAATAGCAACTGCTTGAGGGGCAAAATGGTGAGTTGGCAGAAACTAGCATGGAAACTAGCCGGCCTGGGTTTGCATACTGACCCCTTACCTAATAGGTGTGTAATCTCAGGCAAGTTAATCCCTCTCTGCCTCAATTTCTCATCTGTGAAATGGGGATGAGAACAGGACATACCTCACAGGAGCATTGGGAGGACTGGATGATTTGTACATACATAAACATGTGGAAGAGTGCCCATCACAGAGTGCCCACTCCATCAACTATGAGACAAAAGTCGCTGCTTGGATCCACTCCTGTCTTTCATACCTCCATGCTGTTCCCTGTGGCTAGAATACCTTACCTCATCTTTCCATCCTAGAGATCTGTCAATTTTTTCCAATCACACTACGTGTTCTGTGAGAAGCCTCCCCCAACACCATTCTTCCGTACCCAGAGTACACCACTATTAACACACATACTCAAAACAGTCATTTAGTTGTGGGTTGGATGCGACTCTCAACATACAAAATCAGCTATGCAAAAAAATATTAGTATATTTCTTTTTTGTTTGTTTGTTTTTTTGGAGGGGGCACCTGGATACATATGTTTCTTATACCTTCACTTATTTCTATTTTGGGCTATATTAATTGCCAGTATCATTGAACTCTGAAAGTCTATTGCCTCAATTTCCAGTTTCTCTGGTGCCCTAATGGTTAGACTCCTTCTATTCCAGCAAGTCTGGAGAAACATTTTTTTTTTAACCACCTCTAAGAGTCATTTTTAAAAATTTTTTATTATATGGAAACACTTTTCTGTCTCTGATTCTTTCTCCTATGCTTTCTGGAGGTACCAGTCAGACCAATCCCCTTCAATAGCACATCTATTGTCCTGATTGAATTTTGGGCCCTGCTCAATTGCAAAGGGACAATCTCATTTAAGTTACTGACTTCTTCCTAATTTCCTCATATTTACTGTCTTCCATAAGCCAGGTCCTGTCTTAGGAGCTAATTATACAGCAGAGAATCAGACAGACAAAGCCCTGTCCTTAAGTAATTTACATTCCACTATAACCTCAGATTGAGAAAGTCCTAGCTTTTGTTTCCATAGACCAGGAATAAAAATATGGCCCAGGATATCAGTATAGAAAGGCATAATGGGCCCTAGAAAAAACATGATAACCTCCCAATCCTTCCCTAACTACTTCTGGCTCTCAGAATTTCATATAAGTAGATGACAAAAAACGATTCTTCCTATATTTTTAAGGTACAAGCAGTTTGGGATTGCCTGACAGATATGCACCTAGGACACCAACAAAATAGAGGAACCAGAATTTTTTGTGTGTGGAATTTGATCTTTTTTTTGTTTGTTTTTTGGTGGCTGGCTGGTAAGGGGATCCAAACCGTTGACTTTGGTGTTATAACACCACACTCTAATGAACCGAGCTAAGTGGCCAGCCTGGAATTTGATATTAAAAAAAAAAGATGGGTCATAGTAGTAATCATGGGAAAAATCAATTTTTGCACTTCCTAACAGTTTAAAAAAAGTTTAGCATTGCCTTTATTTTGAATACTTATGGGAAAGGTGGTGTCATGATCTCCTCAGTGCGTAATCCCTCAACAGGTGTAAAGTACATCTGCAGAGTTTTCCTGACCTTCACTGGGATGGTTATTTCAAATACAAAACGTGTTTTCACACACTGGGTGATAATCTCCCATAGGATCAGTTTCCTATTTCAGTGGAGCTTCCAGGTAAATAATCTCCCCCCATTTGAGGGAGCTCCCTGTATTTCTGGTGGCTTTAACCCAGATCTCTTTCAGGGAGAAATCCTCATTAGCTACATAAGGGGGTAGTAGGTCTGTCTTTGCTTTTCAAAGGACCCGTACTGGGATATCCAACCCCTGATGCCCCTGGTCAGTGTTTCTTTAGCAATAGTAGTTTGTTTAAATATATTTCACGTGGGTTGAAACATTTCATTTCTTTTTAAGTTTTCTACCATTTATGGAGTGCCTCTTCTGTACCAATGCCACTGAAAGCACCGTCAATATATTAGGTGATTTAATTCTAAAAATCTCCTGAAGGAGGTACTGGTACTATCCCCCATTTTACAGATAAACTGAGGCTCCAGAGACGTCAAGATCACTCACTCAGTTAATAAATGACCCAAGACTCTTGCTCCAGCGCTTCTCTTAACCCCTAACTTTGCTTTTCTTTACAAAAGCAACCAAGAACAATCATTTGAAACATGTATTCATGCCAACAGCAATGGAAATAAAATTACCTGCAGCTCCCATGATACGCTCCATACAAAATATCTCCTTATGTTTAATCGTCACAACCACCACAAACAAGAACAAAGTCTGAGAGGTGGACTTGCCTAAGCGCCCGGCTCATAATTGGTGGAGACGGGATTCGAACCCCCCACAACTACAAGCGCCCAGTACCAGCCCTTTCTCCCAGTATGGCCGCTTCTGGGCTTCCGCTCCCGGAAGTTCCGCCCCAGGTAAAGGACTACTTCCGGGATAAGTTGACTCAGGGAAAGCCGGAAAGTGACAAGGGGCGGGGCCGCTCGTGGCGCTCTAGCATTTCTGCACTCTATAGCCATCGCCAATTGACCAGTCCCGAGTGACAAGACTCCTCTCTATTGGATGCTCAGCCTAGCGTAGGCGGGCATCTCAGTTCGAGGAGCGCTGATTGGCTGGACCCGCCATGCGGGGCGGAGAGGCGGTGCTTGGGGCACACGGACAGGAGGGACCGGCTGCGTTCTCCGTCCAGGTGTAGACGGGTGCATGTGGGCCCTTCGCTCCCTGCTGCGGTCCGCTGCCGGACGTACCATGTCGCAGGGGCCGGCCCTCCGCCAGCGGCCGCCCAAGGACCCGCTGCGGCACCTGCGCACGCGGGAGAAGCGCGGGCAGTCGTGGGGATCCGGGGGCCCGAACACCGTGTACCTGCAGGTGGTGGCGGCCGGCGGCCGGGACGCGGGCGCAGCGCTCTATGTTTTCTCCGAGTACAACCGGTCAGTGCGCCGCGCCCGGAGTCTGACAGGGCCTCCGCGGCGTCCCCTTACCGAGCCCCACTCCGACGGACCCTCCATGCTGTGCAACCCGGGAGCATCGTGGCACCTCCCTGGGCTTGGGTTTCCTTACTTCACACGTGTGGGGCTACGCTGTTGCAGCGCTTCTGCTTTTTTGGTGGGTGGGAGATCCTAGATATGGTTTCCGGGAATCGGTAAAGAACTTCAGACGGGTCTAAGAGGGCTCTTCCCAGCCCTTGGGCTCCGGACTGGCTCTTAGCACGCTCTGAGCTGGACCCCCTTCCCTGCATCCCAAGGCCAGGGCCTGTTACTTGGCATGAGCGGTAGATGGATCTGCTGAGGAGCTCATGGGGGAAAGGACCCATCTCGCCCCAGCACCAGCCTACACAGGCTTCCCACTCTTCCCCGCCTCTGCCAAGGAGGTTTTAAAACCCACTATCCTACTAGCAGAAATGTACCCCAACAGTACAACATGGATTTTCAGGGGTTTTTTTTCTTTCTTTTTACCAGAGCCTACAATAAAGCGTCTAGTCGGTGTTAGAGATTTTAATCTTTGAGTGGCTTTTGTCATGTTCGTCCTGTAGGTACCTCTTCAACTGTGGAGAAGGCGTCCAGCGACTCATGCAGGAGCACAAGTGAGTCAACCATTTGCTTTGGGTCGGAGATGATTATGGGCTTGAAAGCTGAGGTGAGAGGCGGGTGGGTTTTTGTAGCAGAAGTGGTCTTTGGTCAGTCCACTCTACCCTGTTCAAATGTTTTCACTTTCTCAGGCTGAAGGTTGCTCGCTTAGACAACATATTCCTTACGCGAATGCACTGGTGTAATGTTGGGGGTTTGTGTGGTGAGTATATTTTTTGCAGGGTCAGAGGCTAGTGGGAAGTTTCTGGGATTTGAACCTGTCTTGCCCCCCTTCCCCCACTTTTTTTTTTTTTTTTTGCCCATCTTCAGGGGAGTTGGAATTCTTTTTATGCCAGCCCAGTCAGCTGCAGCATGGGGCATGAAAAGCTGTGATTCAGAAGAGCAGATTTTAACATGGGTACTGCCTCCAAGTGTTACCATGCATTTGGTTTGTTGGGTTGCTGGGTCAGAGGTTTGTGGCAGTAAACCAGACAGTGTAGTGGCGATGATTACAGTGAATGTATTTGTTATGGAGGAATCAGCAGATGCCTATTATCCAACTTACCCAATTATTCATGTCCATCAACTGGGAAGGTCAAAATTGTGTTGCAGCCAGATTCTGAGCTTGGTGATGTGGATAGGAAGGAGTGGAGCATTGGATCAGTCCCTATTCTAAGGGCTGACACCAGGGTGAGGCAAGCGAGGCACGTAGGGAGCAAAGTTTAAGGCCATCCTTTCACTTGTGTGACCCTGAGAGTGACACCTCACATTTTGCACACTAGGTGCCTCACTGCCTCACCCTAGTATCAGCTCGGCCCATTCCAGAGGCATATGGAGAATATTTGGTGTCCTGTATATCTCTAGCTGGCATCACTTCTGCTCTGCACATGTTCCCTGATGACTGTTTAGAAGCTGAAATGATGACACAGAGATAAATAGCTGGATGAGTGAGAGGTGCTCCTCCTGGCAGAGACTACAGGTCAAGTTGATAAAAGGTCTGACTTCATTCATCCTTTTTAGGAATGATTCTTACTTTAAAGGAAACCGGGCTTCCAAAGTGTGTGCTTTCTGGACCTCCACAACTGGTGAGTCTCTCCTGATTCACCTTTCAAAGCCAACTCCTCCTTTTTTAATGTTAGTAATGAGAATTTTCATTTTTGCAAATCAGTCTTCTGCCTTCCAGAGATAACTGATAGTGAAGTAACCACTTCACCTTTCAAGTTAAATAGATCTAAGTTCAGAACCTTATTAGCTGTGTAACCTTGAATGAGTTACTTTATCTCTTTGAGCCTCAGTTTCTTCGTCTATAAAATGGCTATAATGTCATAGAGTTGTTGTTCAGGATTAAATGAGGTAACCCATATAAAGCACTAAGTCACTTTATTAGATGTTTGGCACTGAGTAGGTTCTCAAAAAATGGTAACTTTTGTTCTTATTTATTAAATTTCAGACATCTTTATTCCAATCACAAAGTCCTGTTAATTCTGTCTCCACAGAGAAATCCATCCATTTGTCTCCATCTCACTGAAGCCTTTGTTACTCTCCTGTCTACTGCAATAGCTTTCCATATCCACCCTTGCTTCCCTGTAATCCTTCCACCACACAGCAGCTGGAGAGATCACTTTAAGACATCATCGCAGCTTGTCACTTCCCAACCTAAAACCCTTCAAGGGCTCTTCATTGCAATACAATCTAAGCAGCCTAATAATGACCTACAAGTCCTGTAGGCCCCGGCCCTTGCTCACACTTACATCTGAATCTGTCACCAAGCTGCAGCTACATGGGTCAGTTCTAACCCCATCCCAACCAAAACCCCTGTCCATTTCAGACCTTCATCCATGCATGAGTTCCCTTTACCTCCTCTCCTCCCTGCCTGTATCCTTACTGAACCCTCAGGGCTCAGCTAAAACGTCAGTTACTCTGGAGCTGTCCCTGATTCCCCAGAAAAGTGAGATCCCAGTCCTCTGCAATTTTCATCCTTCTTGTAGCACACATACAGTCGTTGCCACTAAGTTGTTATTTGTGTTATCATTTATTTTATTTCTGTCTCCTCCATTGGGTTCATGAGAGCATTTTCTTGCTTTTCACTGCTAGATCCTTGGCATCTAATGTGTAGTGGACACTCAGTAGTTATTTGTATAAATGAGGATCAAAATGCTCATTAAAGTTTATGTTGCCACCTATTGATATCTTATATATTTGAATACATTGCTGTGTTCTGCATTTGTGCTACTGTAACTGCTCACTTCTTCATTTTATATATATTTTTTTTTTAGGAAAAATACCTAGAAGCAATCAAAATATTTTCTGGTCCGTTGAAAGGAATAGACCTGGGTATGTCTTTGACTATGACTTGTCATCTACCTTCTCTACTCATATATGCCCCCAACCTCTCACATTAGAATCCGCTAAAAACTGAACTGAATCAAACCTTAAAATCAAATGCTTCAGCAACATGGGTGGATGTGAAAATATTGCGTTACACTTCCTGTGCCCCCACCTCATGCTGCAAAAGTATGGACTAGGTGGGCAGGAGTGATTTGAAAATTGTGATGTGTGCTGTGTGTATGACAGTCTCCATTCAGGCCCCTAGTTTCCTTCTCTGTCCTCAGGATGGTTGTCAGAGAGGAATTGCCTTGATTTTCTTGCAGGAGGAAGGGGGTGTGAGCAGAGGCACATAGGGACCCTCTGTACACTGAGCCTCAGCCCCAGCTGTTCGGGAGGCACACAGCCTGGTGGGGGGTTGGGGGGATCTCACCGAGAAAGCCTGCAGGGCCCTGGCCCTTATCCCGGAGCCTGTGTGCTTCTTCAGCTGGTTAATGCTCCTTTATAGAAGCTTTGATATTTTATTTCAAAATGTATAATGGCTCTCACATTCTCTGGCATCACGGGCCTATTTGTTAACTTTGAGCCTCTTAAATTTGAGTATGGGTTTTTTTTTTTACTTTTTTTTTTTAATGGATTCTCACCACTGATCATAAACATGTCTTTTTATTTGTAGCAAATACAAGGGTACTTCAAAAAGTTAAAAGAAAAATTTGTATTATCTTTCAATTCTCTTTTCCCATGAACTTTTTGAGGTACCCTTGTATGAATGGCTGATGAAAATAAATTTTTGTTTGCTTCCTAAAAATTGTAATCTACTTAGAAATTCTGGTTTTAGTAGCAGATTCCCACCAAAATTCCAAGGTAATTCAGTTGCTTGTGGTTGTTGATCTTGGAAGTTAATTTTCACACACTTCTTTACTGATTAAATCGCTTCCCTGTCGTGTGGTTTTCATGTAGCTGTGCGTCCCCACTCTGCACCGGAATACCAGGATGAGACCATGACAGTGTACCAGGTCCCCATATACAGTGAGTATGACAGCCAGATTTCCTGGAGGAGGAGGGTGTAGGCCCTAAGTAAGGAAAATGTGGGTGAGATAAAACGTTTGAATACTTGCTTTGTGTACCCTATTTTATGTTCTGAGCATGATTAGGAAATTTAGCTGAGGAATTAAGACATGGTTCATACCCTAACGTAGTTTATAGTCTTACCAGCAGGCTTGTTTAACTCAGGTGAGTGATGGTAATTATATTCTGGAATATTTACATAATCAAGAGCTGTCACAAAGTAGACTGTATACAGATTTGCACATTCATTGCTTGGGGTTTATTTGCCACAGTTGTGCACCCACCACTTCGATGAGTGGATTCTGGAGAGGAGTAGCCAGATAAATAATGTTTAAAAGAAACTGATAAGAGCAACCTAAAAGAAGTGTTCTCGAGGAGTCAGAAGCTCCTGCTAGCCTTTTCAGGTGCCAGGGTTGACTTGGGTACAGAAGCAGTCTACGTGTCAGTCTTGTCCTTGAGTCTGGCTAAACACGTTTCATGTGTGGTGTTATGTACCCGTGAAGAGAACACTGAGCAACGGGGACATTTCCTTGATAGTGCTATCTAGTACGATGCTTGACGAGTGCTGGAGAGCACACAGCGAAGGCCAGAGAGGTCCAGAACCTGCCGGGGAGACGAGGTATACGCTGACCCCTGTGCAGAAGGAGGCGAGGAGGGGAGGGTGTGACTGGAGCAAGGGCACAAGAGCTTATGGAAACGTAAAGATAAGGTGTTGATACATCCCGGAGACCAGGTGGGGAGGCAACTAGTTATTTACTTCTGTAGTAAAAGGCGTACTGATTTAATTGGCTTTCTCACATGTGAACATCTGGTCTTTGGCTGTGAGCTCATCCTGCCTGGTGTGTAATTTGATGGTTTCCTGACCTGACCAGGTGAACGGAAGTGTGGAGAGCCCCAGCCATCACAGAGTCCAGAGAGCCCTCTCGGCAGGCGCAGTCCAGAGCAGTCTTCAGACTCTGGATCACCCAAAAATGAGCAGCACCCTCCAGATGGTAATGGCATAAGCAAAACAGAACACCGGGAAGGACTTGCATTTTCTTTATTCTTTGCCTCTTTTTTTCCTAATTAATTTATTTTTAATTGACAAATAATAATTATGTATATTTATGGGGTCAGTACTGTCACTTCTCCCAGGGTGACAGAGACGTTAAGGATTACTCAAAGCCCATTTCTCCAGGGCAGTGAGAGGCCCAGAAGGGGTTAGTTCCAGGAGATGACTTCTTCAAGAGAGAAGGAGTTCAGGGAAATAACCCCAAACTAGGTTTTCTCTCCATTTTTTTGTCCAGGCAAAAGTTACAGAAAAGAACACAGGTGGTTGTAAGGATTACTCAAAGCCCATTTCTCCAGGGCAGTGAGAAGCCCAGAAGGGGTTAGTTCCAGGAGATGACTTCTTCAAGAGAGAAGGAGTTCAGGGAAATAACCCCGAACAACTAGGTTTTCTCTCCATTTTTTTGTCCAGGCAAAAGTTACAGAAAAGAACACAGGTGGTTAATCAGTCATAGTGAAAACATAGACAAACCGGCTACATGACAATTTTCATTAAAGCAAGTGCAACTTAGAAATAGCTGAAGCAATGTACCATCAAAGGAGTCATAAAACTAAGCTATGTGACATACAAAAGAACCAATGAGATGATCGTTATGGCAACACTTAGTTCCCTAAGAAACTTAGAGGAGTAGCTGAAGGTGAACTGTGGAACCAACCACTAATTGGCAGAGTAGCCTTGAAGATTTCAGCACACACATTTTCCCATCATTACGCTTAGCTGCACCAAGGGCATCTACCCTTAGAGCAAGCACTTTTGCTGTGTTACAGTTTTCTTATCCACACCAGAGACTTTTTAGTCCTGTGAAAGTTTTTTTCTGATTTTTTTCCCAAGCTTAGCATTTCTGTGTTAGGCCTTGTGAGATACATGTGTTTTATTAATGTTAGTACCCTCCACACAGTACTGAGCTTCCAAAGCCAATTCACAGCCTTGGCAGGCCTAAAACTTCGAGTTCAGTTTGCCCAGAGGAGAGCAGAGCTAGGCCAACTGATTCATATAGGGGGCTTTTGTCCTTTTCATTATTATAACTGCTAAGCTGGCAAAACAGTCAAGTCAATGACTGGATCTGCGCCTTGTCTTTCAGAATGACATCCTACCAGGAAACTGAATTAAAAGTCCAAGATTACACGTATCAAAGGAATTGGACTGCTTAAGGATTCTTTTTTCCAGCTTTGGGAAAAGCTTGATAAGTTCCTTTCTNAAATAATAATTATGTATATTTATGGGGTCAGTACTGTCACTTCTCCCAGGGTGACAGAGACGGTAAGGATTACTCAAAGCCCATTTCTCCAGGGCAGTGAGAAGCCCAGAAGGGGTTAGTTCCAGGAGATGACTTCTTCAAGAGAGAAGGAGTTCAGGGAAATAACCCCGAACAACTAGGTTTTCTCTCCATTTTTTTGTCCAGGCAAAAGTTACAGAAAAGAACACAGGTGGTTAATCAGTCATAGTGAAAACATAGACAAACCGGCTACATGACAATTTTCATTAAAGCAAGTGCAACTTAGAAATAGCTGAAGCAATGTACCATCAAAGGAGTCATAAAACTAAGCTATGTGACATACAAAAGAACCAATGAGATGATCGTTATGGCAACACTTAGTTCCCTAAGAAACTTAGAGGAGTAGCTGAAGGTGAACTGTGGAACCAACCACTAATTGGCAGAGTAGCCTTGAAGATTTCAGCACACACATGTTCCCATCATTACGCTTAGCTGCACCAAGGGCATCTACCCTTAGAGCAAGCACTTTTGCTGTGTTACAGTTTTCTTATCCACACCAGAGACTTTTTAGTCCTGTGAAAGTTTTTTTCTGATTTTTTTCCCAAGCTTAGCATTTCTGTGTTAGGCCTTGTGAGATACATGTGTTTTATTAATGTTAGTACCCTCCACACAGTACTGAGCTTCCAAAGCCAATTCACAGCCTTGGCAGGCCTAAAACTTCGAGTTCAGTTTGCCCAGAGGAGAGCAGAGCTAGGCCAACTGATTCATATAGGGGGCTTTTGTCCTTTTCATTATTATAACTGCTAAGCTGGCAAAACAGTCAAGTCAATGACTGGATCTGCGCCTTGTCTTTCAGAATGACATCCTACCAGGAAACTGAATTAAAAGTCCAAGATTACACGTATCAAAGGAATTGGACTGCTTAAGGATTCTTTTTTCCAGCTTTGGGAAAAGCTTGATAAGTTCCTTTCTGTCCTGAGATCGTGTCTAATGACTGAGAAAAGACAGACCTTGTACACTGTGCTTTTATGGATGGCATGGGGTGAAGACTGATACCCACATTTTCTTTACAGACTTTTTTTTTTTTTTTTTTTTATAAAGATGACCGGTAAGGGGATCTTAACCCTTGACTTGGTGTTGTCAGCACCACGCTCACCAAAATGAGCAACCGGCCATCCCTATATGGGATCCAAACCCACGGCCTTGGTGTTATCAGCACCACACTCTCCCGAGTGAGGCTCGGGCTGGCCCCTTTACAGACTTTTTTAGCTTTTGTCTTATATCGCCTATTATTTTACTTGTTTATAAAGCACTTTTCTCTCTTCTCCTCTCCCAGGTAAAGTGTGCCATTTTTAAAAAATTTCATTTCCCAATCTAAAGTTTTTCTGGTTAGAGTTTTGCAGTTTTCATTTACGCAAATCTCAACATAAGTAGGAAAGAAAAAGCCTGGGGACTATTAGTGTCTTTTTCAACCTTAGTATTGGGATGGTAGCATTCATTTAATTTACACATGAAGTCAAATTAAGTATCAGGTGGTATCAATTTTGAGGCCTTTACAACCTTCATATTTACCTCATTCAGTGTGGTTTTCCTCAGGTGTTAGCCGGAGAATAGGTGGCAGGGACCCCTCCTTGGTCGTAGCTTTCGTCTGTAAGGTAAGAGAGCCTTTCTGTTGACTGTGGGGGGGGCTGGAAGTGCGCGTGTGCATGGTGGCCAGCGTGCCAATGTGGTGGGCAACCTCCGATTAGCACTTTTCCAGTAATTCAAAGGTAGCAGCTCCTAAGTTACCTGTGCCAAGAAGAAGCACAGATACCCTGTTTTTCAGAGTACCACCTATATACTTTTATATCCTTTTAAAAGGATTCTCTTCCAGTGCTCTGTCAGTCTGTGTATATATTCTTTATATTTGCCTGTGGTCAGTACCCTTGGAATTCAGAAATAAAGGCAGCTATGTTTGTGTTCCTTCAAATCTTTATTCAAACTTTTTCAACTCTGTTTTCGTTTATTTCATTTCACTAGTAGTTAAGGTGCTAACAGATCAGTTTTAACATTGGCTAGCATTCACACAGGCTGTATCTGCAACTCTGAAATTCATCAAATTCCATGAAGAATTTTATTACAATAAGCTGTTTTTGAGATCTGACTAATAGCTTATCTCTAAGAGGACTTTGCATTAAAATTTTATTACAACACAATCTACAACAAATGCTTTTGTCTAATCCGTGGTAAGACTACATTGTCCTTTTGTTGGCTTTGATTTTTCTTTTTTTTTAAGAGAAGTAATGTTGGTTTTCAGTTATATTTGGAATTTCCATCCAGATTCTAACACCTACGAGTGAAAACAATTATGAAAGGTCAGTAGTAATATCAGTTGCAGGATCATTGCCAGTATCATTCCCATCATCATTCCCATCAATTTATTTGAATAATTGTAATTTTTATAAAAGTTGTCAGTATTGTCAGTAAGCCCATTACTTGTGTGTTTCTGAGATTTTAGTCAGTGAAATACATTTTCTAACTATTTTATATGGTAGTCTTTAAATTGTATTAGACCCTTGCTGCCTTCCTAAGTGGGTCACACTGAGCATGAAATGTGTTTCTGCGTGATGGAGGCTCACTCTCACACGCGCTGGCAGCTGTCCCATTGGCAGGCAGCCGTACCCGGGAGCCACCGGCCCTGGCTTCTCTGTCTCCTCTCTCACTGTCTGCTGCCACTTCTGGGGCTGCTCTCATGGGTCAGCCCGTAGCCCCTTTCCCTCTTCTCATTAATGTGCTGCTTCTCAGCTGAGGGTTTGGAAAACAGTA